TTTTGTAGACCGTGCAGCTCATACTTTATGGTCAAGACGTCTTCAACGGTGAGAACTCCTCCCAAAGTGCAGCGCTAAGGCACCTGGTTTGAGGACTTCCGTGGACGTCAACACGGTGGTGTCACAAAGGACTAGGTGCATTAATACGATGATCCATGCCATTCTGGAAAAGGTTGATTCATCTCAAAATTGTTTCGCAGAACGTAGTTTTAAACGATAATCATTAGTGACAAATGTGTCTGGGACATCATTAACATTCCTGGGGAGTAAATCTGGGTGGGCTCTTCTAAGTCTGTCCGCATGATTATGTCTGAAGTTTGTGAATTTGGCTTCAAAATTTTTAATTTGTTGCCCGCTTCTTTGGCGATAATGCGGAATGGTCCGTCAAATTTGGGCGAAAGTTTGGATTTCTGTTCAGGTTCTCGCACCATAACAGCATCGCCTATTTCTAGTGTTGTAGTCTTAGCCTGTTTATGTTGCTTATAAATCATTTCAGCGTGTGATGCTGCTAAATGTGTCCTTACTTGGCGATGAATATCCGTGAAAACGCTGATTTACTTGGTAACAAAATCCTCGACGTTGTAAACAGGGCATGGCTTGCCCGTAAGTACATCATAGGGCAGATGTTTGTCTGTGCCATAAACAATATACTGTAATAGGGCGGTTTGCTCGTGGAGTTATTGATCGACCCGTTAACAGAGACTGCCACTTGAGGTAACCAATCCTCCCATGCATTGTGCATTTGACTCACTATTAGATGAAGGATCTCTAGGATTTTACGATTGGTTCTTTCAACGAGGCCATTTGCCTGTGGAGGATGAGCTGTGATACAACCTTGTTGGATGCCGTATTGTCGACATACTGTATTTGTGCTAAAAGTTGGTTCTTGAACTCTAATCCGTTGTCAGAGAGAAAAACCTTGGGCGTAGTAAAAGGACATATGAGGTGCATCACTAAGGCATAAGCCACAGATTCGGCTGTTTTATCCTTCAGTGGGACTAAAATTATAAATCTAGAAAAAAAGATCCACACACACACACTAGTACGTACAGAGATCCTTGGTGACTCCTTGGAAGTTGTGACAAGTTAATGGCGACTGTGTCAAACGGACGTTCTGGTGTAGGATATCGGAGAATTGGAGCCGGTGGCAAAGTAGTACTCTTATGCCGAGCACATAATAAAACACTTAGCAATATGTTGCTCTATGTCTCTTTTCATAGTATAAAAAAAATAAAAAATCTGATTTCCGCAAGGCATTTATCACGTCCGGGATGACCTGCTTGAGGAACATCGTGGTAAAACGTTACTAGCGTTGTACGAAGTGTATCAGGTATGACAATTTGCGTAACAATACCCTTAGTTGTCTGTCTGGAGCGATGGAGTATGTTTGTCATAGTTCATATTGACTGAACGGAAGAGGTAACCTTGGAAGATTAGCTCCCCGACTCTAGGGCAAAAATGACTGAAGACCACAATGGACCTAGACGTTGTTCATCCCTTAATTGAGAGAGAGTGAACGAAGACACAGGCGTCACTGGTGCTATGTTTCTCAACTAGGCGTCGGCGACCACATTCGCTCTTCCCGGCAAATACTTGAGCACGGGGTCGAATTCTTGCATGGTCAGAAACCAGCGTGCTAGTCTGCCTGAAAGATTTTTGCCGTGGAACAGCTCTGTCACTGCTACGTGATCCGTATGGACGGTTATTTTATAACAAAAAATTATGTCTTTAAACTTCTTCACTGCCCAAACAACAGCTAACATTTCTAGTTGCGTTACTGAATAACGTGTTTCGGCATCATTAAGTTTACGACTGGCGAAAGCAATTACTATAAATTTTTCTCGTGTGTCCAGCTGCACAAATGCAGCGCCGATTCCCTGTCCTGAGGTGTTCTTCAATGCAATAAAACTATCCTCTTGTTCAGCATTCCATACAAAAGTTGCATCCTTCCTAAGTAGCTTAGTCAAGGGTGAAGATAATGTCGCATAGCCTTTAATAAAAGAACATAATATCCAGATAAACCAAGAAAACTACGCATCTTATCAACAGTTGTAGGACTTGGGAACTGGGCAACAGCTTGAACTTTGTCATCAACTGTATGAATGCCGTCACCGTCAACTACAAGACTAAAGAATTGTATTCTAGATTTTAAAAATTCGCATTTAGAAAGTTTTACTTTGAGTCCTGCTGTAGAAAGTTTTTGGAAAACTTCACGGAGTTTGGCAAGATGACTGTCTACATCCTTACTGACTACGATGAGATCATCTACAGTAAGTAGGCACATACTGTGGTTCCTATTAAACCAGCAAACAAAGTGTTGATCATCCTTTGAACAGTCAGTGGGGCATTTCGGAGACCGAATGACATCCGTAAAAATTCAAAATGGCCCAAAGGAGTACTAAAAGCAGTAATCTCTCGAGATTTCTCATCAAGAGGAATTTGCCAATATCAGCTAAGCAGATCAAGGTTGCTAAATAGAGTATTTTCCTTGCCTAAAGATTGCAATATAAATCACTCAGGACGGGTATTGGGTACCTATCTGGGGTAGTATTTTCGTTGACGCGCCTAAAACCAATAACTGGGCGCCAACCTCCATCCTTCTTAGGGACTAAACACAAAGGACTATTGAAAGGAGACTTTGAACGTGTGATAAGTTCTTGCTCTAACATATCTTGAACTATGCCCTACATGAAAGCACGCTGGCTATGTGATAGTCGGTAAGCTGGTGTGTAAATCGGGTTTGTGTCCGGTTTTAAAGGTATGTGATGCGAAGTTAAACTTGTGTGACCTAGCTGTTCCCCTGGCAAGGCAACAATGTTTCTGGGGTCGGCAAGCAACTCTAGGTGCCTAGTCTTGCCTTGCCTTGATAAACCAAAAAATCACACGAATAACATCCCTCTTTCACTATTCTTAGAGCGTCTGTTTTGTTGAGAACTAGGACATCTGTTAAACCACCAGACGAATCGTACTCAATGTAGATTCACACGATAAACCTTTAACCCTGCACGTTTCCGTAAGATAGACTACGTCAGTCCCCGTGTACACGTCAGGTAACCGAACAGAGGCTCTGGTGATTTCCTCATTCTGAAAATGGAGAGTACCCGTTAAAATTGCAGGTACGATCGTCCAACTTTTGCTGCTATAATCACACTGGGTAAATGAATCTGTGGGGTCTGGGACTCGCTTTGACCTGTGATCCATCTTCCTAGTAGTAGGAGCGGTGGACAAAACAATCACCCCTGCGGAGAGCAACGGTACAGACTTGTGTATGGCACTGTAGGAAACACCATTAACTGTGATAGTATGTTTGCTTGGCTGAACATCTATCATGTTATGTTTTAGAGTTGGAAGACCTATTACTCCGTCAGCTGGTAAATTAAAGTCTTGGATTATATACAAATCTGCAGGAAATGATTCACCACGTCTAGAAAAACGTAATGGTAATGTTACCATTTCTGTAATGTCCAGCTGGGTACCGGAAACGCCTGAGAGATTGGTGTCAGTAGGTCGAATTGGAAATTCTCGGTGAGGGATCTTCGTTGTAGTTCTTTATAGGAGGCTAATAAGATTACATTTGCACACTCACCCGTATCGACGTCTAAGGCAACATTGACTTCCCCAATCCTCACTGGAACAGATAACACTTCCGCTTTGTTCAGCGCCGCTATTAACGAGGCTGCAACAGAAGTGTTGGTGTGTGGTGGTACTGGTGTGCCTATCCTACGTCATTCTGGGAAAGTCGCTGGTCTTCCCTCAACTTCCTATGATAGCGACGACGCAGTGTTCGCTGTTGTGTTACCCGGGGTAAACTAATATCCCATATCCCGACATCTTTGAAGAACCTGACATTCTTCTGAGTTATGGGAGGCAGACTGGTGATACTCTCACCACATATCAGCTTTCTGTTCTGTATCAGACTTGGTCTGAGCAGCTGCTGACTAAGTCTTGGGTGGTACTTGTCTCTGTCGTGGATTAGTGGGAAGGGTTGTTTGGTTTTGGGGTTTGACTCCACCTTGCTGGAGCTGGTAACAAAAGTCAACAGTACATACTAAAGGTTGCTTGACTTTTGTGCCAGACATACTGACTCACTAACACACTGACACACTTACCGACTGGATGATACAGTGACAATGCCCCCCCCCCCCTTCCCCTAGAAAACTAACAAACATTTCATAAATCGAGGCTTACACACTGTTATGCGTGGCGTAATGTACAGTGGTGCGCAACTCTGTGCATAGTGAAATATTTGTTAGGCATATTACCCTCAAGTTATGTGTAATTGTGTGTGAGCAGGGCTGGTACTTGATAAACAAAAAATTTGTATATAATACGTATGTAGGTATTTTTACAGCTTAATGTGGGGAGTTGATTAATATTAGTATTTGGTTTGTAGTCCCCTTGAGTATGGAGTGATGTGAGTCATTGGCTGGCTTTGGGAGGTGGAAGGACGTTGAGTTTGTCTGTGGTGGATACCTTTTCAAATCGGGTTTAGTTGGGTATCATATTCAATGCTGCTCTATTATTATTCATGGTGTGTAAATTACAATCAATTATTGTGTTATAAGGTGGTGGTTTATTGTTTATTCATGGTGCCAATAGTAGTGGTTTATTGTTTATTCATGGTGCCAATAGTAGTGGTTTATTGTTTATTCATGATGCCAATAGTGGTGGTTTATGTCTATTCTTTATTCTCTTGATTTAATTTATCTTATGGAACCTACACACTTATGGTATTTTTTTTATTTAAATCTTTTAATGTGTATAATTCCAAATCTTCACTACATACATACATAAAATGCTAGAGACAGGGGGAAGGAGGTTCAGGGGAAGGATAAAGGGAGAATTGAAGTGAATTAGAGAAGGAGAGAACAGGTGCCGAGGCTAAACACCGCTTGCGTGAGGGAGCTTAAGTTGGAGGCAGCAGCAACTCGCCTGGACGCGGCAGGACAGAGTCAGGTTAGCGTCAGGTCAAGCGTCAGGTGCGTGTTGGGTTGGGCCATGGTTTCTCAGTGCTTGGTCGGCAAATCTTCACTCCTGAACTGTTGGGATAAATTGAGGGCTGTAACTCTCGACAGGAGCTGCCATGCACAGGCCAACCGGCCTATAAGAACATAAGAACATAAGAATGGAGGAAACTGCAGCGGGCCTATTGGCCCATACTGGGCAGTCCCGTTTACACCCAACCCCTATTGCTCATATGAGCATCCAACCTATGTTTGAAGCAATTCAGCGTATTAGAGTTAATGATGATATTTGGTAACTTGTTCCATTCATCCACTACGCTGTTTCCAAACCAGTATTTACCTATTTCACGCCTAAATCTAAATTTGTCTAATTTAAAACCATTGTTACGAGTTCGCTCCTGGTTGGATAATTTGAGTACCTTTGTAATGTCCCCTTTGTTTAGCCCTGCCTTCCACTTATACACCTCTATCAGGTCGCCCCTCGCTCTACGTCTCTCAAGGGAGTGCAAATTAAGATGCTTTAACCTGTCTCTATACTCAAGGTTCCTGATGCGGGATTAGTCATTCTCCTCTGAATTCTTTCCAAGGATTCTATATCCATTCTGTAATACGGTGACCAGAACTGAACTGCGTAATCCAGGTGTGGTCTCACAAGAGCAAGATACAGTTTTAGGATGACCTCGCTAGTCTTGTAACTAACACTCCTTTGTATGAACCCAAGTACTTTATTAGCCTTGTTACGAGCAAAAACACATTGTTTACTTGGCTTAAGGTTCCTACTTATCATTACTCCTAAATCTCTCTCGCAGTCGGATTTCTCTATGGCATCGTTGTTCATCTGGTATCTGGTTTCCCTGTTTACATCTCCTATACTGAGTACTTTACATTTGTCGACGTTGAATTTCATCTGCCATTTTTCAGACCATTCGAAAAATTTGTTTAGATCTTCCTGTAGTTTTGCCGAGTCCTCATCAGATTTGATAACACATCCTATTTTAGTGTCATCAGCAAATTTACTTATGTTGCTGTCTATGCCGATATCTATGTCGTTTATGTATATAATAAACAATAATGGTCCAAGTACTGAGCCTTGGGGAACTCCACTTGTGACGTTGCTCCAATGGGACTTAGTGCCGTTAATGCTCACTGCTGTTTCCTGTCCTGTAACCACGCCCTAATCCATTTAAGGATGTCACCTTTGATGCCATGAGCTTCTACCTTTCTAATTAGTCTTTCGTGGGGGACTCTGTCGAAGGCTTTGCTAAAGTCGAGATATACCACATCATAATTGTGCCCCTCGTCCACCGATTCGAAAACTGATGAAAAGAATGTTAATAGATTAGTTAGGCAAGAACGTCCGCTTGTGAAGCCATGCTGGGAATCATTGATCAATCGTGCTTCTCCAGGTGATTTCGAATAGAGTTTGAAATGATTGCTTCCAGTAATTTGCCTACTATTGATGTTAGACTGATTGGCGGTAGTTAGAGGATAGTGATCTATCCCCCTTCTTGAAAATCGGTATTACATTCGCTATCCTCCAGGATTCTGGAACTACACCTGTTTTTAAGGACATGTTAAACAACTTTGCTAAGGGCATACTTCCTTACATTCCTTTAATACTCTGGCAAATATCTCATCGGGACCAGGTGACTTATTAGGCTTTAATTTGTCTATTTGCTTACTAACATCGTTACTAGTCACTACTATCTCACTTAATTTGTTTTCTTCACTATCTCTGAATAGAGTCGGTGCCTCGGGTATCATGTTTAAATTTTCGGTGGTGAAAACTGTTGAAAAATATTTATTCAAATTATTGCTCATTTCTCCATCGTTATCAGTGAGCTTCGCCGGAGTCTGACCGTATTGGTCCAATCTTTTCTCGTGTTTTAGTTTGATACATTTGGTAGAATCCTTTGGGGTTTGTCTTCGCCTCCCTTGCTATCCTTACCTCATTATTCCTCTTTGCTTTCCTTATCTCGGTTTTAACCCTACTCGCCAATACCCTATAATAGTCCCGGAGGTGAATTTCGCCACGATTTATCCTTCTACCTATAGCCTTCCTTTGGCCAATGATGTTTCTTTAAATAATTATTTATCCATTTAGGGTCATTGTCTGATCTGAGTTTTGTATGGTATGTTCTGCCTTTGTGCATTAAGTAACTCACTATTTAAATTGTCGTGGAACTCGGCAATCTCAGATCTCGTTATCAGGTCGATGTCATCTGTCAGGTTCACGGCCAAGCGCGACACCCCCTCTCTCAGCTGCCTCTTTAAACTGTCAAAGTTTGCCCTTCTGAAATCTGGTACTTTAGTGGAATTTTCCTTGCAGACTCCTTATTTTCTTATGTTCTTATGTTCTTATTTAATCTAGGACTAAGGTGTGCTGAGTTGCCAACTTGTTCATTTTTTTGTTATGCCATATGTGCCCTCATTCGTATATTAATCTTCAACGTAATTCAAGTTGATAAGTTATGGCATAACAGCACACACACTTGCACACACACACACTCTTTTCTGTATATTTTTTTTCAATCATATCATAGACAGTAATAAATGTTGTTCACTGTTGATTATAGTGATCAAGATTACCTGATGGTCTTGAAGCACGAGCTGGGAACGTATTTCTTCATCTGATTGTAAAACTCTCAGGTAATGATTTCATTCACCTGGGAACCACCGTGTTCCTTGACGATAAAATGTTTTTTTTTCACACACTTGCGGTTAGGTTGGGTTAGGTTAGGTTGGGTTAGGTTAGTTTAGGTTAGGTTAGTTTAGATTATGTTGTTACACTCGTCTACAATATAATTAGCATGTCAATATAAAAATGTGTTTAGTAATAATTATCATAACTTTGAATATAAAATATCAGACGTATAATAATTGATAAAATAAACTTCAAACATTATCAAGAAATAATAACTAAATATTTTATATTAATTCATTAAATAAAACACAATATAATACGTATATATTTTTATTTAATCTTGATTTTCAGTCATACATTGGGTCCGCTTTGGTGACATCACTTTTATTGAGCTCAGTCAAAATGTTGGGTTCGGTCCGTTTTGGTGACATCACTTTTATTGAGCTCAGTCAAAATGTTGGGTTCGGTCCGTTTTGGTGACATCATTTATTGAGCTCAGTCATGGAGATACGTTGAGTTTTGACGACATATACTTTATTTTCGGCCTGAAAGTATAGTTTGTTGCCGTAATAATCTATATTGCAGAGGTACTTAGTCAGAATATTTTACCCCATAATAAGGTCAATACCACGGATCGACAGGTCTCTGAGCCAGCCGCCGTGTATAAACGTGTTGGGGCCCACTTTTATCCTAACTTTTTCTGGAGCAACACATAACCTCAACTTATTTTTCCAACAATTTTTGGAAATGAAAAAATCGGATGCACCGGAGTCGATGAGGATATTGAGTGAGGGCTCTTCCAGCGCTTCATTTGCGTGAGCCTTGAAAATGTAAAGACTATCTTGGATGGTGGAGGGACATTTCAGCATTTTGAGATTGGTGAAATATAAGGTAGAGAATTTTTTGTTGAAAGTTTGGATGATACGTTTATCACGGAGGGTGCTGTTGTCCAAGAGCATTCCTGTGGGTAATCGTTTGGCTTCTGGCGGCTGGATTAAAATGGTGCAGGTGAAAGCCACACCTTTTTCAAATTTGACCACCATGTCTTTCACCACATAAAACTGGACAGGTATAGTCTCAATAAAATTGACTAAATTTTATGAAACTGTATGATGAACGTACTGTAGAATATCAAGGTTGACAGCCATTTGGTAATCCATCAAAAACGTGGTACAGCCTGAATCCACAAACAGTGTACACGGGCGGTTGTTGATAAGAGCGTCAACTCGATTTAAGTCACGGAGTTGTACACTTGGCTAATAAGCAAGGTTAGGCCATCGTGTTTCCCGTGGGGGCGGGTTCAAGAACAATGTCAGAGTACCACCTACAGACACTTGAGGACGTCGGCTCAGCATTAGCTTCTTCATACGACAAGCTACTCGCTTACTCCTCCTGACCCCGAGAGGAGGGACTTTCCTTGACCGTAACTGTTTAGACGAAGTTGTAATAACCATAATTATGTTAACGTTGAATATATATAAATATATATAATTATATATTTAGATAAACAGACGTGAACACGATTAACACAACGAGAATATGTGCAAATACAGGCTAATTGGAACATTTGACAGTGGTGGTGATGTTGATAATGAGTAGAAGTGGTGTACAGGACAGTGGTGAGTGCAGTAGTAGTGATGTTGATAATAATATAGTGGTGATGTGACAGTAGTGGTGATGTGTTACAGTAGTGGTGATGTTGATAATGTTATGGTGTGATGTGACAGAGTAGTGATGTTGATAATGATATAGTGGTGTGATGTGTGACAGTAGTGGTGATGTTGATAATGTTATAGTGAGATGCAGTGGGTGATGTTGATAATGTTATAGTGGTGTGATGTGACAGAGGATGTTATAGTAGTGGTGACAGTAGTAGTGATGTTGATAATGTTATAGGGGTGATGTGTGACAGTAGTGGTGATGTTGATAATGTTATAGTGGTGTGATGTACAGTAGTGTTGATGTTGATAATGTTATAGTGGGTGATGTGTGACAGTAGTGGTGATGTTATAGTAGATGTGACAGTAGTAGTGATGTTGATAATGTTGTATGGGTATGTGTGACAGTAGTGGTGATGTTGATAATGTTATAGTGGTGTGATGTGTGACAGTAGTGGTGATGTTGATATTATAGTGGTGTGATGTGACAGTAGTGTTGATGTTGATAATGTTATAGTGGTGTGATGTGTGACAGTAGTGGTGATGTTATAGTAGTGATGTGACAGTAGTAGTGATGTTGATAATGTTATAGTGGTGATATGTGACAGTAGTGGTGATGTAATGTTTAGTGATGAGATGATGTTGATAATGTTATAGTGGTGATGTGACAGTAGTGGTGATGTTGATAATGTTATATTGTGATGTGACAGTAGTGGTGATGTTGATAATGTTATAATGGTGTGATGTGTGACAGTAGTGGTGATGTTGATAAT